TGTGTGTGTGTGTGTGTGTGTGTGTGTGTGTGTGGGACAGCTGAGGCGTCTGCTCAAGTGTGTACATCTAGCTGGGAGCTCGTCTTGGAAAATAAGTGGCGTATCTGAGGGTCAAGGGGGGGGGTCACTGAGGTTGAAGGTCAGAGGTCAAGGTTGGACTTCTAAGAGGTTTTGGAGGGGGGGGGGTTTAAAGGATGAATCGAAGCTAATGGATAGTCCTAACAAACACGGTGAAATGTGTGGTTGGTGATGTGCATCTGTGCATGAGGTAAAGAGAGGAAGACGAGGGGGAGGGAAAGAGGGCAAACTGAGAGGTGGATAAGAGGAGGATAAAAAGGAGAGCTGGGCAAATAAACGTAAAAGTGTTGCTAGAGATAAAGCACAAAACCTGGAGACAGGACATGCACCAGTACAGGATGTATTCAAAGAGCGCAGGCAGAGAATAAAACAGAAAAAAACCTACAAAACTGACCTTCTCTTTTTCCCTTCTTTCACCTCATCACCCTTCAAACCTCTGACCTCCGTGTTTTATTGGTCTTCCTGTCTTTCTTTCTCTCTGTCCTCCTCTGCTTGGTTAACTTTTGTTAGCGAGACATTCGACACTGAAATGACACCTCTCCTTCTCCCTCTCTCCTCAAGGTTAAGTTCAACCTGAGTTCACAGACACAATCTCAGACTGTGTTACTGTCTCGTTTTCACCATCAAGCTTCAAGTAACCAAATGTAAAAAAAAAGAGAGAGAAAAAGATCTCGTATGTAATATTTTACTTGGGTTAAAAAGAAAACATATTCGCATTTTCTTCATTTCATGTCATATTTCTGCTGTTACACTAGTGGATGCTCCTCTTAAGTTAAGCTGCTTTAAAGCAATGGTTTGCAAGCTTTTTCTGGGAGGCCGCACTTGTGTTGTGCCTCACCACCTTTATAATTGATTTAATTTTCTCATTTGTTTTTATTCTTATTTTATTTTCACTTCATGTTTTCAATCCTGTTTGATTTCAGTTCTTTGCCAGGGTGGATTTCCTTGTTTTAGTTTGCTTTTTATTGCTTGAAAAATGTTTAGTTTTGCTTTAGTTTTTATTAGTCTCACTGTTAGTTTTAGTCTTTTTTTAATTAGTATTGCATGACGGACAAATGTCAGATGAACACTCAAATTAAAAAAAAAGACTACCCTCAATAAACGTGAATATGCACCTGAAATATATAAAACCAAAGGCTTATTTATGTATTTTAGTTATTAACCATTCAGGAAAATGTGTAAAAATGCAAATAAATGTGTTTTTACAGATTTTTGTGTGTATTTTTTAACAACTTTTTCAAAGCAGTGATTCAGTTTTTTTAGACTACTAACTTCTCATTAAACACTCATCAGTGCCTCATCAGACAAGTTGTAATTAAATTTTTACCAGTTTTATTTTCATATTTATTTTAGTTATGTTTTCCAAGCTCACAAAATCATTTCAGTTAGGTTTTTTTAGGTCTGTTTTTTGCCTTTGTTAAAAGTTTTTTTTCACATATAGTTTTAAGTTTTGTGTTTAGCTTTGGTTAACTATAATAATCTTCTGCTCCACAGCCAGCAACTCTTACCAATCACTATTTGCAAAAAAAATTCTCAGTTTCATTTAACTGAAATCAACGTCAGCACAATAGCATCAGCAAGAACTTTTCTCTGAAAATTTAAATAAATGATATGGACTCATCTTGGTTTCACTTCCTGTCTTTCACCTAGTTATTATCCACGTCCCACCAGTGGGGTCCACCTCACAGTTTGAGACCCCCTGCCTTAATGTCAGGTTGCCTCAGAGTGAGGAGAGTTTATCCTCTTTTTGTCTCTCAGGGTTGGATCTGCCTTTTATGATGATGCCCCACCCTCTGCTGCCCATGGGGCTGCCGCCTGCGTCTGTTGCCATGGCGATGTCACAGATGAACCACCTAAGCACCATTGCCAACATGGCCGCTGCAGCCCAGCAGATACACACTCACGTACACCGTGCACCTGTCATCAAGGTAACACGATACGCAACTGCAGAGGATCCGACTGGGATCCATGAGGAACTCCTGTGTGAAAAATCTTTTACATCTTTACATAAATCTTTTATTCGAGAGTTTGTCTGCCATTACAGTGCTCTTTAGTCTTATGTGGCTACTGCAGCCCACCAGATGATTACCATATACCCTACTTTTCTAAATATTTAGGCTGCGCAATAAGACAGTAGACCCAAATATAAAGATTAAAGCCTTTTATAGAAGCAGATTGAGTCCTTAAATTGTTAAGAAAAGCTCATTTGGTTTAAATTGCAGTGCAATCAGTATCAGCTTTAATTGACCAAGTATGTGTACACATGCAGGGGTTATTTTTCTTTTGCTCTAAATGTACTTCACATTACACAGACAATAACAACACGTACGTCATGTTTATACACATACATGCAGTGGTGCAGACTGTGAAGATGTTGGAATAGATGTTAAAGCTTCTAAAGATGTGTAATGATGTATTGTTTCATAATAATAAATACATATTTTAAGTGAAAATAAATACATGCAATAAATAAATACATTTTTCAAGCAAAATATCCGGAGGGAATTTGGATTTGGGAAGCTTGGCTGTGTTGTTGTCAGTTTGATATCTTTAAGTTTTGGATTTTTATTTTATTTAATCAAATTTCTGACAAAATATGAATTAGTTGTATTTCTACAACAAATACACATTCGTTTAATCATCTCACGTAAACATCTGTGCAGCGGACCATCCAAAGCCAGTCTTACTCAACTTTGTAATTATCAATGAAAAATTTAATAAAGTTTATCTTTATGACATGTTGAGAATGATTAGAGAGAGAGAGCTTTAATCACTGGCAGCCAGTTATAAGCCAGTGTAACATGTTTGAATCTCTCCACTTACTTTCATTCATTGCCTCTCCTCCTGCAGGAGAGAGTGTGCGACAGCCCCTCGCTCTCCCCGTCTGTTGACGAAACCAATACTCCTCTGCAGTCGCAGCCCAGCAGCTCAGCCTCCAGCTCGCCTGAAAGACTGGGTACACACACACACACACACACACACACATACTCACCACACACACAGCGAAGAGGCAGATTAAATGCAAAAATCTGAGAAACCATGCAAAGTACTCACATTTCCGCCTCTTGAATCAGAGGATTTGCTGCTTTCTTTGTCACATCAATGTAAACTGTGTACTTTGAGCTTTTTTTAAGTGATTTGCTGACTGGTTATCATGAAAGTAAGTTTTTAAACATAAAAATAAATCTTTAATGGTTTTAAGCGTCTTAAATATGTCTAATTTGGTTATGCTGTCTTTCATTCTTGAACACAGGCAAGTTTTTAGTAATTGTCTTACATTTTTTAAAACAAAGCAGCATGTATAGTAAAGATCTTACACACTAGACAACACACAAGTAGGAAGATGTACATGTATGCAAACACATGCGCCACACTGTAATTCCCACACATAACCAGAGCATGCTTTCGTTCAACAGGACTGGTGTCAGCTGATGCAGATGTTGCGCTGACCAACTCTACTCCACCCATCAAGAAAATAACAAAGGACAAAGGTTGGACCACACACTCGCACACACACTTAAATATAAGTGAGGATATTCCATTACTCGCCTTAATCTAAGCCCTCTCCCGGTTACTTCTGACATCTGATAAATTTCCTCACTTAGGAGGGCTTTCCTCATCTACTGTATTTACACGCACACATGCAGAGACAAACACACACTGAGAAACAGAAGAGTCAGGATGTTCTGCCCCTCCTATTGATCACCTGTCTCCAAACCATCAATCAGATGAGCAAGGGAGGGAGAGATGGATAAAAGATGGATAGATGGATGTGGGGTGGGGGTGAGCGAGGAAAGCTAAGTGAAGGAAGCGTGGCTAAAAGGGGTCAGGAGGTCACGCACTAAAAGCAAGCAGGGCCTCTCCTTCCTCCTTCACACTCTTTCTTCTCCACCCCCCGTCCGTTGTATTTTCCATTCTTATAACACATTATTCTTGTAATTCCTCTTTCTCCATCCTCACCCCCTCCCCCCACCTCCACCTTTCACGCTCCTGAAGCTCCACTGCAGACATCAGCAGGAGTGCTACTTCCTTTAAAATCAATAAGGGCTAAAGAAAAATAGATAACTCGGTCTCGAAGATTGTCTTCTTAATCCGATATCTGCGGTGGAGTCAGGCCACGTGACCCCCCCGCGCCAGCCCTCCTTCATAAATGTGATGGTGTGTTGCCTTTTATAGTAGGCTCTGTGAACCAATCAGAACTGAGGCTTTTTAGACTGTGTTGATGGTAGCTAGTGAAAGCATCAGAATTACTTTAAGAGCTTTAAGGTTCACAAACACAATTTGTTTCACATAATTCAGTTGTTGCTTTTTATCTATCAGAGGAACTATCTAACACATAAACACTCTGCCATGTATGGATGAATATGAAAGTTTTCCCAGATGGAGGTTCCTAATACAGTTAGAAAAGTGTCGATTACAGGTGGCAGATTTCTCATAATCTTTAAAATGATTCATTTAAAAAACGCTTTTTACCACTCGGCCATTAAAGGTTGATGTTGTCGACACCTGCCTTTGTGAATACGATAATTGACTGGTTCTTATATAGAGCTTCTCTACCTGAGTTCTCAAAGCACTTTGTCCAACTTGCCTCATTCACCCATATAAGCACTTTTTTTCCTGTGCTTAAGTGTTTTCTATCTAACATTCACACTCTGGAGACCAACTTGACTTAATATTTTCTCCAAGGATGTTTAGACTGAATGACCCAGGGATCGATGCGCCAGCCTTCCAATTATTAGATGACCTGCTCTACCCCCTAAGCCAGGGGTGGGCAATTCCAGGCCCCGAGGGCCGGTGTCCCTGCAGGTTTTAAATGTGTCCTCGAACCAACACAGCTGATTTAAATGGCTAAATTAGCTCCTCAACATGTCTTGAAGTTCTCCAGAGGCCTGGTAACGAACGAATCATGTGATTCAGGTGTGTTGACCCAAGGTGAGATTGCCCACCCCTGACTTATACCATAGATGAATCCACTAAAAATCACAGATTTCACTAGCTGGGCCCATGTCCTCGTTTTAGGATTGACAACGTTTTAGTAGGTAAAGGTGAATGCTTGGACATGAATTGGCCTCGAAGGGGACTGGCGACGGCTCCTGGGCCTGGCAGATCCCCATGTACTAAATAGAAGTGAAGAAGTTAAAGAATTGAGTACAAGGAGGGAGGGAGGGTGGGGCACGTAAGCGAGAATGAACAGTTGCAGAACTGGTGAAACCTATATAGATGTCAACCGGAAGGAGCGTGTTTAGAGGCGTGGTCCCGCTCCTGAAATTCAGATACATAATCTCCAAAAGTTTGAATCTTGGGTCAGAGATCAAATTTTTTGAAAATCTCACTCCTGCGTGTGAAAGGATGAACCCTAACCTGAGCGTCATTCTGCAGAACGCTTTACAGAACCGGGTCATTTACGCATATTTACTCGACTCTGAAACTCCCAAAGGCTGCTTTTGATGTCGGTAAATGAACGGGGTCGTCTCCTTTCCTGTCTGGAGATTTTCAGATGTGGGTGAGAGAGGGGTGACGCACTGCAGAGGACGCTGGAAAGCACAAAAAGTCCATCAAGCAGACTGTTTTTTGTTTGTTTTTTTAACAGCTTGTTGTGCTGTCGCATTTTGACATTCTAAAAAAGGACATGTTACAAATCAAGTTGTTGAGTTTGATTGGATCTACTAATTGGAAGGATGGTGGTTTGGTTCTGGTTCCTCCAACCTGCATGTCAAAAAGTCTATGGGCAAGATCCCGTGAACGTTAGATTCAAAGTTCTTGGTATGGAAAAAATGTGTCTGAATGAGCCTTTTGTAAGAAGCTGCTTTAAATTTAAGTACATTTACCGTTTAATTGATGTTTAGAATTATTCTATATACGTTCTTTATACATTAGTTATAAATAATAAACAGACCTACATTTTTCCATGTATATAATGCATTCTTTGCCTTCCAGGTAAATTTAAGATTGTTAAATGCCACAAAAATCAAATATTGTACAAATGATTCATTCTAGAACAAAATACATATGTTAGGATAATTTGACTCCTAAGTCTTAAGGAGTTTATGTGCTAAAAGGATTTCATGTTTTATTTTCAGATAGACAGGAAAGTAACCTACAATATTTACTGTGTCTGTAGTGTAGTTGGTATTGTTGGAGAGTGATTCAACAAAAATTATGTATTGAGTAAAAAAACTTTTAAAAGCCACAAAAAGACACAGGAAGTGCTGCCGCTCCTCTCTGGGGTGTTAACAGACCACAATGTTCCCTGTGGCCTCGCTCCATCTGGACGGTGTAGTGCAGTAATTACTGTAGCAGAGCAACATAATAAACCAAACTTGTTATCAAAAATGACCTGACAGCGCTTCAAATCCTTGGTTGTATTTTTATTGTGACTTTTCTTTAAATGGAAACTTGGAAGTTGACATGAAATTTCATTCATAGTGTTTTTTATTCTTTCTTTAGTAGTATGAGCTGTAGTATGGATGGTATGAACTTCAAATTGTAGCCAGCCAACAATGAATCTCTTTCACCATCTATTGATTTTTCAAAATAAAAGCTCAAATATGTCTAACACTGATGAACATTTCCTCCAGCTCCTGTTTTTGTTCCTTTACTATCTCCTTGTTTGTGCTCCTTATTTAATCTACCTTTTTTTCTTAAATCATTCTCTGCTCTTCCACCTCTTCACCGTCTCTACCCTTTATTTATTCATTATTTATTTTTTGGCCAAACATATTTTAGTGAAAGAAATCAGGGTAAATATATGAAAAGCCTGGCCGTTTTCAGTGTTTGATAATGAAAAGGTGGCAGGGGTCTGAGTGAAAAGCAGAGGAATAAAAAAAATGGAGGTGATGAATCAGTGAAGATGGAAACATAATAAGGAGATAAAGCAGAAAAAGAAGCATTTTGAGGCTCAAAGCAGCTATAAATGAGAAATAACAAATATTGTAGTTAGTGTAAAAGGGCTTGCTCATAGTGGCAAACTTGCAGAGAATTATGAGTCGATCATTCAGAAGTGACAAAAATGTTCGTAGGGACCAAAAACAGAGCTAAAGGTGTGTCAGTACTGGACCTGCAACTGGAAGATGGTCAGTTTCTACCTTAAAGCTTGTTTCCACCACTCCAAGTAGCCAAAAACCACAAACAAGAAGCTTAACATAGAAGGAGGAACAGAAATAAGGAAATTAATTGCAGAGAAATAAGGAAAGGAGCAGGGAAGACAAAAAGGGTTGAAACGATAGAAACGATAACCTGACATGGATTTAAGGAAATGGGGAAAAGAGTAACGGAGGGAAAAAAGAAGCATGAAAAGATGAAGATGAAGAAAAGAGATGAGCTGAGGTGGAGAAATAAATGATGAAGGAAGATCTGGGAACGATGGGAAAGGTAGTCGAGGGATGTGTGGATGAAGTGGCAGATAGGGGATGGAGATTTTGTGTGTGTGTGTGTGTGTGTGTGTGTGTGTGTTAGAGTGCATCTTAATCAGCGTTAATTTCACAGCAGAGTTAACCCAGTTGTCAGTGTGTTAGGCATTAAGGGCTGAGCAGACACTGTGACGCACTCACAATGAACACACACGCATACACACACAAATCAAGGATGTCTTTAATCCTTGCCAATTAGTACCCCACATGATTGTCTGAATACTAACGACCTCAGAGTGTGTGTGTGTGTGTGTGTGTGTGTGTGTGTGTGTGTGTGTGTGTGTGTGTGTGTGTGTGTGTGTGTGTGTGTGTG